TATATGTGTTGAAATGTGTGAAAAAAAAGGTGAATTAAAGCCAGTCTGCAAAAGTGAAAGCCATCCAGCTGGCCCTTGAGACTACTGAAAGAGGAAAGTGGCTTGTACTCTACCTCTATACTGACTTCTGGGTGGAGGCAAATGTTCTGTGGGGCTGGTTATAGCAACAGAAGCAGACCAACTGGCAGCACAGAGGTAAACCTATCTGGCTTGCTGCATTGTGGCAAGACATTGCTGCCTGGGTGGAAAAAATTATTGTGAAGGTACCTCATGTAGATGCGCACAAGCTCAAGAACCACACCACTGAGGAACATCAAAACAATGAGCAGGTAGACAGGCCACCAGAACTGAGGTGGCTTATGTGGACCTGGACTGAGAACGTAAAAGTGAGCTGTTTGTAGCTCAGTGGGCCCATGAACATATGAACATCTAGGGAGAGATGCAACATACAATTAGGCTCATGATCAAGGGGCAGACCGAACCATGGAAGCCGCCACACAGGTCACCCGTGAATGTGAAAAACATGCCGTCATCAAATGAGCCACATGAGTAAAGCCTCCCTGGAACAGAGGGCAGTGGTTGGATTATTGAGATGGCAGGCCCTGGCAGATTTGCCTATATTGGACCACCTGCCAAAGCAAATGATGCAACACGATCACCATGGTGGAAGCCATTACCAGATGGTTGGAAATACACGCTGTAACCCATACCACTGCCTGAAACAGCATTTGGGCCTTGACAGGCAAGCTCTGTGGTGACGTGGTACCCCAGAAAGAACTGAGTCAGCCAATCGGCTTATTTGCAAAACAACCTCATAGACTCTTGGGCCAAGAAACACAGCACTGATTGGGTATATCGCATTCGCTGTCACCCGTAAGCCTCTGGAAAGGTTGAATGGTACAATGGACTGTTAAAGACTGCTGAGAGCATTGAAACACTGGGATGTAAATTTAGCAGAGGATCTGCTGACCATCCTGATCCTGCCCAAACAATGCCCCTACGTACTGTGGGAGGAGGTAAGGACCCCATAATAGTGCACATAGGGAAGCGGCTGGGAAGGGCAGTGCAGGTTGCTCCTCCCTTGAGAAAAAGGCAAACCCACTCAAGGGATTGTCTTCACTCAAGGGTCTGGGAGCACTTCATGGGTAATGTGAAAGGATGGGGAGATCCAGTGTGTATCTCAAGGCGATTCAACCTTGGGGAAAAAATAAATTGTCAATGGAGTTGGATGCGGTAGGAGGTAATGCAGCAGGAACTGCCTGAACAGATGGAGAATGAGCTTCACCAGGAACCAGGTGAGTGCAGTGATGACCCAACCCAAACAGATCTTGGCACCCAACAATCCCATGTGCTGCTTCTCCTGTCCTGAGCGGTGACCTTGCCAGATGGGGCCTGAGTCGTTGACTGTTCTTAAGGACATTTTGCAGGGGAGGCCAATGAAATGGGAGAGTAATACCTCTCTGTATGTCAAATAACAGGGTACAGCGGTTAATGAGGATGTGTAAACCTGACTGTTGGATGTGAAGAAGGTTTGAGTATGTAGTATAAGTGGTAAGTGTCGGTAAAAGGGGATTTCAGGAATGAGAAGCACATAGAATGGGATGGTCAGAGGCTACCAAGATGTATTAGACAACGCGGGACCCCAGCATGACACACATGGTGTGGAATTAGGGACAGAGCTCGTGCTCAGTCTGGCTGGGACAAAGCTACGAAGTTAACTTTTCCCCTTGGCAGCCTGCGTGGTGCTGCGCTTGGCGTTTGGGGCTGTCACGGTGCTGATAACACACCACTGCCGATCAGTGCTTGCACGGTGTCAAGGCTTTCTCTCTCTCTCTCTTTCTCTTCCCTGCACCCCCAAAAATGAGCAGGCTGGGAATGGGCAAGGGGTTGGGAGGGGACACAGCTGAGACAGCAGATCCCAGCTACCACACAACATTGTGCGCAGCACTAAAAGCTCAGGGAAAGAAGGACAAAGTGGGGCACATTCATGGTTATGGCATTTGTCCTCCCATGCCACAGTTACGCGTGCCGAGGCCCTACTTCTCAGGGAGCGTCTGGACATCTGCCTGCCGATAGGAAGTCGTGAACGGATTCCTCTTTTTGTTCTGCTTGCGCATGCAGCTTTTGCTGTCCTTGTTAAACTGTCTTTGCCTTGACCTGCGAGGGTATTTTTCATCTTATTTTCTCCCCCTGTCCTGCCGAGGAGGGGGAGTGAGAAAGCATCTGGCAGCCGGCCATGGTCAGCCCACCATGCTCACACGCACACACACACTCAAACGCGTCATACATACGTTTCTATACCCGAACGCGCATACGTCCTCCTCCAAGCCAATTCACGTGGTAACAGGCGGCAAAGAGGGCCGAGTCAGCTTTTCAGATGGCAAAAATAAATTTGAAATAAACTTCAGGTTGGAGAATTGCTATCGATTCCTTGAACTCATTATTACCGTTACTGTATTGCACAGAGCTCCCGGGGGCAGAAGAGCGAGCGATGTTGGCTGAATGTCAGTGAAATCCTTCCCCCGCCCCAAGGAAAACCCAGGCGCGGGCGCAGGTCCCGCACCGTTCCGGTGGTCCGAGCAGCACCGTTCGGGACACCTGAGGGGTGACTGTCAACGTGAAGTGACGGCAGCGGAGCCTGGATCTCAGCAGGTACAAGACGTGGCAGATGGAGTGCAAAAGCAAGCGGGCTGGCTGGCAGCAGGCGCTTCGGTAACGAAGCGTCGCAGGAGCTCGCAGATTCCTCTCTGATTTCACTGGGCTGTGTTCCAGAGCGCGTTTTCCCCTTTTTTTTTTTTTTTCTTAAGTATCTCCAAATGAAAGCCTGCTAAGCTCTTGGATAAGATAAGTGTTTCTTTAACTTCTCAGTCTCTCATCATGAATTTCAAATAGCTATTTTTTATTATCTTAATTGGTGACTGCCTGTTTTAATTAGGCATCACAGTTAATCTTACACTGCTGACACATATGAGGCTTTGTGCAGAGCAAAACATGGTTTTTTTTTTTAGCATAAGCACCAAAAGAAATACGAATTGTCAGAAATAAGATGACCACGTTTGCAATTCTGATTTTCTTTTTCTTCCTTTCACTGCAGTCTTCAATTACCACCTTCTGAAATTCTCCGATATTTTACATGCAGATAGATCTCAGCCAAGAAAATGCTGTGAGCTTAGAAAAAATTCCTTCCCTTCGCAGCAATCCGGAAAACATTTCTGATATAAACAGCAATAGGCAGAAAGCCATGCTCTGCCTCGCTTCTCTGAAGGTCTCAAGCCATAATTTTGTCTGTCAAACTCGAGCTGAAATCAAATACAAATACAGAAATGTAGAAATAAATAACTCCTGATTATGTTGTCTGGGAACATATTGCAACTTCCACAAAAGCTGGCCTGTGTTCATGTCCTGGAGGGCTTAGCTGAGCCTTCACAGTAGTTGCACTGATGACGCCAAACCTCCTGTAACTTCCCCCTTGATTTTTGCAGGCTGCCAGAGGGTGTCACGGAGGGAACCCAGCACCATGGAAAGAAGTTTTATTAGTGTTTTATACAAGACATGCACTCAGCAATAAAGCTGAAAAAAATACGAGAGGAAAAACCCAAACAAACCAACAAAGCCCCCAGAACTCCCTGGATCACGCGGAGCTGGGAGGGTAGCTCCGGCGGAGCCAGGCAGCAGATCCGTACGCAATCGAGGGCAGAGCCGCTGCGACCAGGTGCAGCTTCTGTGGGAGCCTGTGTCCACCTGTCCCGTCAAGGGACCCGAGTGGTTTTGAAAGGTGCTCTATTTTGCTGGAAGGGTTTTTTTGTGGGCCATCAGGGACACGGTAATTATGATAATTCATCTCTCCCCCTCTGCGAGGACAAACTGGAGCTTTTACTAACCAGCCCGCACTTGACAGGACGCTTGTCCTTCTCGTGGTCAAGAGCAGTTCCTATGCTTTTTTCCAGCAAAAATACCATAATCTGCACTGCGAGAGGTAGTGCCCCGTCTGGAGGCAGTTCACCATTGATCGAAACAAATCCTTCAGCTTCATCTGAAGGGTGGGTGTCAGGAGGATGGGTCCAAGCTCTTTTCAGTGGTGCCCAGCGACAGGACAAGGGGCAATGGGCACAAACTGAGGCACAGGAAGTTCCGTCTGAACATGAGGAAGAACTTCTTCCCTCTGAGGGGGACGGAGCCCGGGCCCAGGCTGCCCAGGGAGGCTGTGGAGTCTCCTTCTCTGGAGATATTCAAGCCCCGCCTGGACAAGGTCCTGTGCAGCTTGCTGTAGGTGACCCTGCTTCGGCAGGAGGGTTGGACTAGATGACCCACAGAGGTCCCTTCCAACCCCTACTATTCTGTGATTCTGTGATTCTGTGATCTGTAGGTGCCAAGCAGCACAGCTCAGCGAGAGCAGGGCACGCGTAAAATGTGATGGTTAAGGACAGGCAAGTCTGTAGAAGAAACAACCCACTTCGAAGTGGTGAAGCTTGGCTCAGTTAGATTTCAGCGAGAAGACGGAGCGTGTTGGGTAGTAGAAAGCCGATCCTGGTCGTTAAAGAGCCGTGTGCAATCCTCACCAGAGTCGCAGGGGTGGTTCCCCAAACCCGTGCCCAGGAGGACGCTGAGGTCCTGTTTCCCAGACTGAGCCGGACACTTGTACGGGTGATGGGAGCCGGACACTTGTAGGGATGATGAGTGCGTGACGGAGCCTTCACCTCCAGAGTGACACAGCCCCTTCTCCCCGCTGTTCCTCGGCCCCGTCCCTCGCTCCTGCCTGCCCGGTGGACCCGTACTGGGGCTGCC